CCTGTAGAATGGGTTATCTATACTAGGGGACATAAATATAAATTTTGGCAGAGTAGGAGTCATCTCCAGCTAAGACAGTTTTATTTTTCTAACAGGTTGGTTAACCTGTGGGATAGATAACCCATTAACCAACCTGTTAGAAAAATAAAACTGTCTTAGCTGAAGATGACTCCTACTCTGCCAAAATTTATATTTGTGTCCCCTAGTCTCAAACGAATCAGAAACATCTCGTTTCTGAATCTGACTGTTTGAGGAGTCGCCAAAAGCACGTTCTTTAGATCGTCTTCCTTGTTAAGCAACAACTGTCAACAAAATCACCCACCAAAGAAAAACCTTAACAATTTTTAGGAAAGCTATTTTTCCACAAGAACTAATGTATATTTTAAATTTATTAATTTCACAAACCCGAATATTCTACTGAAGTCATAATAAGTATAACTTTTAGTTCATAGTTTTTGTTTTGAATAGTATTCTATTTACCAATTTTCGTCAGATTAAAGTTTCATACACGGTTTCGAAATGAAAAATGACAAAGACTACAAAACAAATGCATTGTATTATTTTACGAATAACTGTGAAAACATGTTTGCCTTAAATGTCCCAAAACTTAGAAATACAATCTCAAAAATATACAGCACATATATGAATTATCAAGTGTAATATTTCAAAATTTTGTTTGTAATAAATCCTCATATAAAATATTTTTAAATGGGTATAATTATTTTATTAATTAATTCAACTTTTACATTGTGACTTTAATCCACACTTACATATCTAATGATCTTTTTATAAGTTGTTTTCCTGGAGAAAAAAGGAAACGTAGGATATTTTTGGCTCTTTTACTCCTCACATACTGCCAGGATGAAATTAACAGCTGGTATAGCTGGCATGAGTGCTCGTCGAGACATCTTGAATACAACATAACACTTGCTGTCTACTACTCGAAAATATGATACTATTACATTAAGCCATTTTCCTGAGCAAGATTTTATCCTGTGACTTGCTGTACATATCTTTCAAAAATCACAAAGTTTAAATATAGAACAAGTTTAATAATATATATGTGTAGATCTCTGAAAATCAAAACTAAGATGAAAAACGAATATATTACATTCAAACTTTTTTTGTGGGCATATTGAGTAAAACGTAAATAAACTTTGTGATTAATGGATATTACAGGATATAACGCGGCCGCCAGTTCTGGCAGCAAAGTCAGTTTCGTAAATAAGCCAGTACTGTAACCTGTAACTACTTCTTAGTATTTTGAATTCCCGGACTATAACTATAGATATAATGAAAGAAATGTTTAATGAACTGTTACTCTCATATATATGTAATGATATGCTGTGAACGTAAATGATCGGCACTTATGTATTATATAAAATTTAATAAGTAATTAAAATTAACGTTATATATTTACACAATTTTAAAAACTTTAATGAAGCCGTCATCGGCTTCCACTTTAAAAGCACACTACATATATATGTTTTGACGTCGTCTTCAGGAGTTATTAACAAGACACAATATTTTATATTTTTTTCTCATATCATGTGATATTACATTGCATTGTTATTTACACAATTTCTTGATCAACCTTTATAACACATCATGCCAAATATTAATACACTGACTTGATGGTCCTTCATCTCTGTTTACTATTTATTTTTGTGTGCTTTTTATTTTATTATTTGTAGTGATTCTATGACATTTAAAGCTATAATATTGCGAGGTTGAGCTAAAATTGTAGTTTTTTCCATAACATTGTGTATTGTGTTCTGCTATAGCCGATTTTTCTATTATATTATTTCTTACATACTTATAAATACATAACATAATGTTCAGGGACAACAAAGGACTTATTTGTCCATCTCGGATATCCCATCCTCTAAAATAAACTAAAATTATTTAAGAAATTAATCTAAAAAATAAATAAAAATCTTAAATCATTCATATAGTTATCAAGCTTTCTCTTAAACTTCCAATCTCCACAACATCCGAAGACAACCCATTCCACAGGTTGCTATACATAAACGTTACGCTGGTCTTTCCTACATGTCTTTAAAAGTTTAGCTATTTCGAGTATAGAATAGATACGGCCACCACCTGTCTATGTGGCTGTCCCTTGGACTGGTGTAAATCAGTTGGTTCTGAAATAGGTTTTGAACAGAATTATTAGATTCAAAAATAGATGTATAGATACGGCCACCACCTGTCTATGTGGCTGTCCCTTGGACTGGTGTAAATCAGTTGGTTCTGAAATAGGTTTTGAACAGAATTATATATCTTGCCGTAATTGATAATATGACCAAGAATTATTTTGTCTAACTATGAGAGTCATGTTACAATTAATTCTAACTGGGTGTGAGCTGGCATCACGACACAACTAAACGTTTGAGGAAAAGGCACGTAAAATAAAAACACAATGACTAACAAAAAATGATGGAATACCACTTCATTTCTAATTGCAGGTTTTCTATTTTCAAGAAGTTCTTTTTAACACAGAAACGGTTAAATTCCTTATATTTATTACAGCCAACAGATATTTGTAACGACCAAAGGGATTCTTGATAGTTAATGCAATTCATAGAAATCTAGAATCAACAAAATCACAATATTTAATATAGTTAGTAATATTTCATGATATTTAGTACAGTTAATGGAATTCTTAGTATTTCATACAATCAAGAAGAATCCTGATATTTAATACATTTCCAAAGAATTTTCCTATTTTTAGATCAGTCAATAAGATTCTTTAAAATTTAATATAATAAATAGGGTGTATGATAATTAACAAAATACTAAATATGGATCTTCTGACAAGAAAAGGAAAGTAAAAAAAAAAAAAAAACACCTGAGTATCTCACCTGGCCTGACGTTCAGTGGAGCACTGCAAGACGAAACTCCCTGGGAATTGGTTACCATGACTGTATAGAGACCGGCATCGTTCTGGGTTGTATCTTTGATAATCAGACTATATTTACTTCCCAAAGACATTGTCTCTAGGCGATTGGTAGGGTTAATTGGCTGGTTGTTCTTCAACCACTTGATTGTCGGGGAAGACTGGGATTTCACCTCACACTCAAAGACGGCAGACTCACCCTCTAATATAGAAAAATTATAACTTCAAAATGGGCAAACATTCTCGACTTCTCAGACTCGACATCCTGTTACATGTGTTTATTCTAAACCTAATAATTTAGCAAAGCAAAAGAAAGTAACAGTAGAACATCAACAAACAAGACGCCCACATTTATACTATAACAGCGAAACACCCTTGTGGTCCTTACACTCTCGCATCTATTTTTGAATCTAATACAAGTAGTCTCCTTCTGTATTCAGCTGGAAACTTTGACGGTAAAGGCCGTGGGTCAATTGTAGTAATTCATATTTGTGATCATTCCATACGTGGCCCGGCATGGGCAGGTGGTTAGGGCGATCGACTCGCAATCTGCCGGTCGCGGGTTCGAATCCCCGTCACACCGAACATGCTCGCCCTTTCAGCCGTGGGGCGTTATAATGTGACGGTCAATCCCACTATTCGTTGGTAAAAGAAG